TCCGATATGAGTCCTTCGTCCTTGGCTTGGGTTAAGCTGTCCATAAACACGAGCATGTTTGTCACGCAAGAACGGTTTGGGAGAAATCCGTGTTGAGCTGGAGATGTCAGATTGCTGGAAGTAAGTTGATCTACGATGGCTCGCTTCAGAATGCGTTCGAGCCATCCTAGATCACCTTACTTCCAGCAATCTGATATCTCCAGCACGACTGATACAAGGATCAACGGATTCACGGTTTGATACACAGGATCGAGGAGTTGACCTTACTTTCTAGAGTCGGTTTCGTTCTTGTCGTTCAGCGGCTGCAGTCCACCTGAAAGGCACAAGCGAAAAAAGGTGTAGCACTGTTCTTTATGATCTCGCAGCGGGGCAGTAAGCTTGCCACCGCGGGGATTCGCTTTAAATAGTGTGTAGTAGTGCTTTGAATTGGGTTGTAGAAGGAGCGTGGACAACGGTTGGAGGAAGATTATTCGACGCAGCAACTACATGAAGTGGGAAAATTGTTGTCTGAAAAGTGTGCGCTCTGAGCTAGAACCTCTTCTTACAATGTCCTCACCGTACGTTTGCTGGGTCAACGGTGAATAAACTGTTAGACAAACCTTGTCCAAACAGGACATAAGTAAAAATTAGGTCTCCCAGGAGACGACGGTGCTCCAGGAGGGAAGAGGCCAAGCATCAAGAGACACGTTTCATAGTCCACGGTTTCGAGACCAGCAACCATTTCCCTAGTAGCTCGCTCAAGCTCCCTGGATCGGGTTTGTTCTTGTCGTTCAGTGGCTCCGTTCACCTGAATGGCAGGAATTGAAAAAGGTGTAGCACCGCTGTTTAAGTTCTAGGAGCTGATTCGTAAATTCGCGAGCGCGAGCGTTCACATAAAAAGATCTAAAATTCCTTAGCATTAGCCCCCTAGAAGCAAAGATACCCCGTGATAGAGAATGCAGGCACTTCGAGCTGCGTTCGGTAATCAACAGACCATCTTTGTATGAACCCGGTAGACATGGCTACGTTCTTCTTGCTCCCCGATTAGACGCAGGCCCCGTATGTTTATGAAAGTCCATTACAGGGATGGTGCACCTAATAAGCTGTAGAACGGCAAGTGCATTTATGATAGTAAATAATTAATAATAATGATAATGGTAATAGTAATGTCAACTTGAGATGATTTTCATTGTGGCTTGAGAAGGGCAGATTTATAGAGAGTGAGATATCTATATCCTTTTCGGATCTCTCTTTGCAATATCCAGTCCATTTCCAGCATGACTGACAAAGACATTCCCAAGTGTCTTGAAAATTACACATGGACGCACTTTTTGCCTTTCAGAGGACGGTGAAAGTCCAGTGACCACCGTCTTGCACTGTCGATATCCATTTGGAAGACGCTAGCGTTGAAAATCCAGGGTTTCATGCTGCCTTAAAAAACGTTAAAATAGTTCGGACGCGCATCCGGAAAGTTGCTGGCTTAGATCAGAAATATAAGTGGTCTTAAAACGGGGGGCTGATGAAATTCAGACTGATAGGAGCGCCGTAATCCAGCGTAGAATTCCTGGTTGAATCCCGAAAAACGCGAGTATGTGAGGCTGCGGAAAGTTTTGGATGAACACTTTTGAGTGGCCATAAAATTTGGTATCCGATATGAGTACTCCGGACTCGGGTTCGGCTAGGCTATCCACAGGCATGTGCATTTCGTTTACGTAACGTGACGTACTGAAATATCCGTGTTCACTTGGGGCAGTAAAGCTGTTGGCATTGCGGCAATCTGAGGAGACCAACTTCAGGATTTTCCATAACCCTGCATGGTTTGTTAGTTGGGGGCTAACAGGTCCGCAGCCGCCGGGTGGTAGCGGTCACCAGATGTGTAGTTTGGAGTGACAGTTGCTTCCTTCCAACTAGAGGGGAAGTCACCTACGTTGAGCGACCGAGGAAACACCAGGTAGAAATTCCTCGTCATTGTGAGCCATGGTTTCTTCAGGATCTGCGGATGGACTCATTTGGGTCACGACGCGTTAAAGGGGTTTGCATTGTAGAAGAGTTGGCGAACATCCTCCTCCGTGTAGACCAAGTCAGCCAGAGGCCGTTAGTAGTGCGGATGTACTGAGGTCACTTAGGAAGAATACAGTTCTGCGCAGTGATTCTTGTGGGCTGCAGATACCACTATTGTCACTCTTGGGTTTTCTGTTTTCGTCCCTCGAACAGAGTGTGGTCGGCTTGTTTCTTCGGTGGTATCTCATGTACTTGTATATCACATCTTTTATTTTTCGGGAAGAGTTTGGTATCATGGGTGATTTTCGTACTTTCCGTCAGTTGATTTCTTAGTCGCAGTGTTTCTGCATCTTACGAAGTGTGAGCTCATTTTCTGTGTCCGCTGTAGTTACCTTTTCGGGGAATAGTTGGGATCTGACTTCAAGAAAAAGACGAATCCTTTTACGTAGCTCTTGCTCCATCAGACTGCATGCTAGGCTTTTTGGTACGCGTACCGCATCAGCTTGGTTAATTTTCTGAACAATGGTCCCATATGTCCCCTGCATTGAAGCTGGTCCCGGTTTAAGCTGGTCAGGGAAAACAAAAATTCCTGAGAAGTATGCACGGTAGAATTTTCCACTTATACTCCACCTTCCAGGTGCTTGTCCGGGTAGCGAGTGAAAACAAGTCAGCACATAGCGGTCACTGTGCCTCGTTAGAGTCTCAATACCCACCTGATCAACGAAGTGTCTTTCATTAGTGGTAGCCAGATCCAGTAGGGCCTGTCCGATATCCGGCGGTTGCAATGACATGCTGAGCCAATGCACTGATGCAGTATCCACTATAGCCGAAGCGCTTGAGCTCCATCCAGAAGGCCTTGGAGACGTTGACATCGACAGCAAGAAATCCGTGAAGTGGCAGCCGGGAGGGAGTTGCCGGGGGAAATTAATGGAGCACAGGTGGTCTGCCGTTGGATTTGAATGGTAGGTGATACTGGAAAGAAGGAAATCGGTTCCACGCGTGTAAATCACGGAAAGACAGAGGAGTGGGTTTGGCGACGGCATTCGGTCTGGGAAGAGACACATTCAAGTACAATAATAATGTTTATTCTCGGCTGCAGCGTGGAGACCATCAGGCATGATTATAACAGCACAATCAAAAGAAGCGCATGACTGACGGGATTTGAAGATACTCGGGACTGTGTGGAAGCGGGGCAGCCACACATACGATGGGCTTTATCTGACGCAAACGGGGTCATGCCTAAACAGGCACGGTCTAAATGCGGAGGATGCTGGGGGCATCCAAACAACTATTATATTTTGTTCTTATTTTTTGAAGATATTAAGCTCGAACAAGATCAGGCACTTAAACTTGGAGATGGTGGGCAACAACACACCTGGGGTGCAAAATTAAGGCACCCCGCCTGACACGTGATCATAAAACCGCGAATCGCCTAAAATTAGGAGCCCAAAAATGGATCTGCTGAATCACCGGTGTCACAGGTAAAACTGGAGGGTGCTGCTGAGACCCCGTGGCCTTGGACTGTTGGGTTCATGATCTGGGCCATGGAAAACGTAAGTGGGGATGATGATGAGGAATTAGTAGTACGGATGAATGGCACCTGGGTCCTCATAGTCACGGTGTTCAATGAAACCGTACAAACTCACTGGCGTCGCTGATGTGGTGGGGTCGGGCGTAAAATATACCTTGGGGTGTGCTTTTGTGTTATTACACACGACAAAACGCAAAACATCCAGAAAATGCTTTAATCTGTGAGGAGCGCAAACCAAAAGTCCACTGGGAGGCTCGAATCCGAACGAAAGATTCAGCAGATTACAACAAACTTGCTGGAGGAGGGGCATTAATCAGATAAAGAGTTCGTTCGTAGTTGAGGGTAAGCGGATAAGTGGGAGAGATGTGCAAACCAGGAGCCACCACTGCAATGACGTACTTGGATTAATGGACAGTCCCGTAATGGACGCCACGGCTAGGGTGGTAGGACTGAAGGTGTGCGATTCCGTGGGCAGTGTGATTCACGGGTTGACCAAGATACCAGAGCTCACGTGAGATCTCATGCATTTTCGGTTCACATAGAGATTTCTTCAGCTGAAGGCAGAGGCTAGGTAGAATGGATAAGAGCGATGCGGATGCTGCAGAAGATCGAGGGTCTGGAATAGGGGGGGAATGGGAAAAATTGACCACGTTTGGTAAGCATTAGATAGCATCAGAATGAATGGAGTCCATTATTAGAACAAGATAACTTGGAGCATATTACATTTGGGGCGGTGGAAAAAAGGAGCCTTACGAGACAGGATGGGAGTCGATTCGCGCTTAGCAGCCCAAAGGCCAACCAACAACCAAGCTTACCAATGTGGCGCTATTATAGTACAATTGACAGAACGCACCGGTGTTAATATGCAAAGAAGTGGTGTGATTGTACTGATATAAACATAACTTCCAAGACGATCGATCAGTTTATCTGAAACTCGCCACCTGAATTGAACAGTACCATAATTTACGGAGGGGATCGGGTGTAACAGAACTCATCACCGGGCCCCGGAACGCTGTCGTCAGCTTCGGTCAACAAGTGCTGCATGGCGAGAAGGCCCACTATCGGTAAGCATGAATACTAGCACTGAAGGGTTTGGAATTTCATCATTCATTCATGTGACCGCTCCAAGCAGTAGCAGAGAGAATTGTGTGCTTTGTGTTTGGTTAACTGTTATATCTGCTGATTCGTCAATCTGTGGTGTCCGCTGCTAACCCGCTCCAGTGCCTAATGCCGGAGAAAAAAGAATCACAGTAGGGAACACAACCGAGTGCGAGTGCGAGAGCACGTTACAACGGCCCAACGCTACTTAAAGGGGACTTTCTGACATTGATCCAGGCCGTTCGACGTGCGTTAATGAACACCCACCCATGCAAAACCTGAACGCTGATCACATTCGCTCGTGCTCCTGTGGCGTGCAAGAACGCTCATCAGATTTTGCTGAATTGATTGAATGGTTGACTGGATGCTTGCCGGCTTTCCTGTTGAGTTTTTGGTGGAGCAGTAGGTTCCGGCGTTCCAAGATTGCCTTCAGGGATCTGACCTTCCTGATATTGACGAAGTAGGTTTTGGTGTGATGACGCCTCTTCTAAGACAAAGGTGGCCACAGATTTGCAAGTTGGTGTAAGCCACGGATGTCGCCGCGTATCTTCAAGCT